GGGCAGGAATGAGCTCCTGCTTGGAGCTGCTTTAATCAAATTTCCTGAGTTTAAGCCCTCTGCATCCTGGGTATTTCCAGGCCTTCCAAAAGGGGCTGGGGACTGGCTTCACCCCGGGGCTGTGGTGCTGCTTCCTGGCTTGGCTGGAGCTTTTGGGCTGGGCTTGTGTGAAAAGGTTTTGGGAGCCTCTGGGGGCCAGCCCCAGGCATCAGTGACTGGTTGAGCCAAGAGGCTTCTCTGTTGCAAATTTGAAAATCCTGAGGGTGAACTGAGAGGGAAAATCTGTGTGGAGGGTTCTGCCCTCCCCTTATGGCTCATCCAGGCAATCCAGTGTGGGTCCCTGGTGGGCTGGGAGTCGCTCCCCAGGCAGCTGAGCTGTGGCTGATGGTTCTCAGATGGTTTGGGAGGTGATGGTGAAGTTAAAGTGGGACAAATCTGTGTATCCTTGTGCTGAACCTCTCCCTGCTGACGGAATTGTCTCAGTGGAGCCCTGGAAGGAGCATCTGGACACACAAGACACTTTACCCAAGGACATGGAGCTGTCAAAGACTCTGAAACCTCCAAATCTCTCACTCTGGGGATAGATCCAAAATGTGCTTCATGGAGTGGCAGAGAGAGGGAGGAGAGGCCTCAGGGCTGCCCTGGCCACAGGACAGGAGCTGGGCATGGCTGGGTCGGTTCCAAGCAGCTCCTGACAGCATTCCCAGGGCAGGGAATGTCTCTGTAGCTGTGGAACCTCCCTGGCCTTCCAGGCCCTGAAAAACACCCAGGGCAGGGTTTCCCTGGGAGCCACATCCTGCTCCCAGGGGCTCCAGGGAATGCAGGCTCTGCTTCCAGCCTGGGCTCTGCACTGAGCTGCTCTGGGGGCCCAAGAATTTCAAATTAGAAGTTTTCCAGTTCCTTATGGGGGTTTCTCTGCTCTCCAGAAGCCCTGGCAGGTGTCAGCACAGGTTTGGGTTTGTTCCACAGTCCTGCTGGAGCTGCAGAGTGACATTTACTGTGTTCTGTCCTGTTACACGGGGTGTGGGTCCGCCCGGCCCTGCACGATGGATTTCTTGATAAACAAAAAGAAACTGGGTCCTGGTCTTGTGGTTTTGGCACAAAAAGGTGCTGCTGCCGGAGTCACGAGGAGCTGCAAAACTGGGCTGAGCTGGAGGAGAGGAACATCTGGGAGGAGGAAAAAGGAGCCTCCTGCCCTGGGGAAGCGCGGGTCAGAGCCCCAGCTCTGGGGCTGCTGCTTCAAAGGCTCTGGAGCCATGTGTGGTTGTGTTTGTTGTGTAACGGGCTCAGCCTGGGGGGGTTTGAGCTTCCACGTGCAGCTAATCCTGGGGCCCTGCTGCTGCCCTGATCCTGCCTGGAACACACTGCTGCTCTCGGGATCTGCCACTGGCAGAGGCACCAGGAGCAGCTCAGACTCCTGGGTTTGTGTTTTTCACGGAGGTGGGGGAAGTTTTTAGGCTTTTTTAGGCTGCAGCTCCATCAAACCAACCCCTGAGCTGTGGAGGGCAGGCCGGCTGCATCCCGTGTTCCCAACCCTCTTGCAGCCAGGGTTTGCTCCCAGATGTATCCTGTGTGCAGGGAATGAGGTGTTCCCTTGGCTCCCTGCCCTGCAGGGCTGTGGGGATGTCCTGGCACGTCAGGAGCCTGCGGCAGGGCAGAAATGCTGCTCTGCTGGCTCGGTGGCTCTCCCAGCCTCCCACCTTGGCAAGGGGAGCTGAGGATCAAAGGATCCTGGGAAGCTTCTGGATCAGCCCCAGAGTGGGGCAGGGGAGGAGCAGGAGGGGTGGCTGCTGGGTCCTGGGGGGACACGCTGGTGGCACCAGTGGGTGCTGCCAAATCCATGCTCTGAGGGCACAGAGGGGCTGCCAGGGGCAGCCACTCAGGGCTCTGTTGTGGCTCCCCAGTTCCCTGAGTGTCCCTGGAAGGGGAAGGACTGGAGCTGGCTGTGGACACGGGGGAGCTCCTGCCTCCTCCATCCCTCACTTCCTTCCTGCCCGTGGGAGGAAGGGGGATTGCCCTGCTCCCCCTCCAGTGCTGCTTTCCAGAGGAACCCACGAGGTCCCGGGGCTGGGGACGTTGCAGGCGGTGTCCTCGTGCAGCTGTGGGGTGCTGGCACAGGGCCACCAGCCCGACTTTGGCTGCACAGCTGCCAGGCCAGGCTTCCCTGCCCTCCCTGGCTTCTGTTCCTGCTTCCCCATCACTTCCTGC